ATATCTTTAAAAAAAAAAAAAAGATTCCTCTTTTAGACTGGAAGTGCAGCTCATGAGAGTGTAGGCTTAGTATGCACAAGGCCCTGGATTCAACACCCAACACAAAGAAAAGAAAAGAAAGGAGGGAGGAAAGGCAGAATGATTCTTCTTGGTTGTATTGGCCTACTTCCCATGATAAAAGTATAGTCTACCTTGTTTGCTTTTTGAATAGAGAGAATTTGCTTGCAAATAATAGATACTCATTGTGTACCTGTAGAAGGAACAAAAGGAAAGAGAATAATTGAAAAAATTAGATTATCAATATAACCTGAGTCCACAGAAGAGATGCTTTTGGAATCACAGTTGGAGCTGGGTTTGGTGGTATACACCAGAGACTCAAGAGGGTGATACAGGAAGATGGCAAGTTTGAGGCCATCCTCAGCAATTAAGTAAGACTTTATGTCTCAAAATAAAAATGTAAAGCACTGGAAATGTAGCTAGTGATAGAGCACCTCTGGGTTCAATTCTCAAAAAGTAAATAAAATCAAAATAAACAAATCAAAACTTGAGATAAAGAGAGTTCTTCAGCTGAGAGGGCAGAAGGGTAGCCCCTAGGAAGAGTTACTAGAAAACCAGGGACAATGGGGCTGGGGATGTGGCTCAAGCGGTAGCGCACTCAACTGGCATGCGTGCGGCCCACATACAAAAAACAAGTATGTTGTGTCTGCCAAAAACTAAAAAAAAATAATAATAAATATTAAGGAAAAAAAACAGGGACAAAAGCTCTGGCTGTGCTCATTGGGTGGTATACATTCTAAAATTGTAACAATACAGAGAAGATTAGCATGGCTCTTGCACACTGATAATATGCAAAAATAATATTTACTTTTCTTTCTTTATTTCTCTTTTTCTCATATTTTTTAAAAAGCATTTTGAGGACCAGAACCATTCATTCAAGTGCTCAAGAAAAGACCTTCAGGATACTCCAGGCTTATTAACATGAAATTGCTCACATATTAATGCCTATTGTAATATAGAGGATTTCTTGCCCCACAAACCACAATAATACCAAGAATCCCAGACTCTGTAGGCCCATACAAAATATAACATTTCCTACATTTATTAAGAGTCTGAATTGTGCTAGGCACCAAAGACCCAGAGAAAAATGAGATTTTAGGCCCTATTCTCAAGGAGCTCATAGCCTGATAAAGAAATTGGCACAATTTATAAGTTAAAATTCTTTTTGTCTGATACAAATACAAGCATTGACATTGTTGCAAGTACAAGCAAAAACAATTATAGCTGTTCACTGGGGGCACTCCTATAATCCCAGTGAATCTGGAGGCTGAGGCAGGAGGATTACAAATTCAAAGCCAGCCTCAGCAATTTAGTGAGACACTGTCTCAAAGTTTAAAAAACAACAAACAAAACAAAAAAACTAAAAACCTGGGATTGTAACTTAGTGGCAAATGCCTGGGTTCCATCTTCAGTTCTAAAAAAAGGGGGGCAGGATTTATATTACAAGGATATTTATATTACAAGGATATTGGGGGCCTGAGCATCAACCAGAAATCAGACTTATAAAATAGGTACAAGGGCAATTTAAGTAAGAACCTGCAGCAGCTGCTACTGGCAGTATTATGCACCACTGTGGGAATTCAGTCCCTTTGTCTTTGAGTCACTTGAGGCAAAGTTTGGCCAGCAGCCACTGCTGATTGGCCAATCTCAGGTCACATGAATGAGTCCATGCTGCCAGAGAAAGAAGAGAGGAATGATCTACCCATAAAGGATATTCCTCCAAATGGGAAAGGAGAGAGGATGGAAAGAGGCTAACGTTGACAAGGCAATAAACAAACAAACCTGACACAGATATGAATAAAGTACCTTGATAGTTAATTTCTTTTTCATTAAGAAACCTGACTTGCCAGCTTCTTCTGAACTGGACATTAATAGACTGCTGGGCTGGGGATGTGGCTCAAGGGGTAGCGCGCTTGCCTGGCATGTGTGCGGCCCAGGTTTAATACTCAGCACCACTTTTACAAACAAAGATGTTGTGTCCACTGAAAACTAAAAAATAAATATTAAAAATTCTCTCTCTCTCCTGTCTCTATCTTTAAAAAAAATAAAATAAAATAAAATAGACTGCTAACCAGAGAGCTCCAACTTACAAAGTTCTATTTTGTTGTTGTTTTGTTTTGTTTTTTGTTTTGTTTTGTTTGTTTGTTTTGTTTCTGTTTTAAACTAGGGATTGAATGCAGGGACATTACCACTGAGCTACATCCCCAGCCCTAAGTTTTTGAAACTGACCACAAACTTGAAATCCTCCTGTCTCAGTCTCTTAGTTTTGGGGATTATAAATGTGTACCACCTTGCCCAGTTTTACCTATGCCTTGTTAGTAGCATCCATTTGCCTTAAGATCATCCATAGCAACTTACTAATATTTGGGTCTTGCCTTCCCAATTTTTAGGAGTCTTTCTTTGCATGAGTAGGCACTCAACTGGTGTTTTGAATGAGTAAATGAATGTATGAATAGTAGCCTCAACTCTAGAGAATAGAAACTTTCCTAGTCTCAACTATTTCAAAACTATAGTCATCCTAGCCCATAAAATAACAGCTCTACAACAAAACTCTGCATAAACACAAGACATATACTAACACAAGAAACATTCAACCCCTGCAGAGAAAAGTCCTTGAGTTCCATAAGCATTACTTTTTTTATATATTCCCTTTTGGGGGCTGGGAATAGAACTTAATGACTGAGTGCTTACCTAGCATGCACTTTGCACTGAGGCTCTAGGTTCAATGCCCAGCACACATACAAAAAAAATTTTTTCACTGTTTTCATTCACTAGGATATCTACCCTGCTAAGATATTTGTCATGTTTAAGTTAGAGAATAAAAGCTGCAAAGTTCTACATAAATTATTTAATTGCTATCTTACTAGATTCAGGGTTCAATATATTTAAAATAATCCCTCTAAATAGAAGTAGAATTAAAGACCTAACATGATAGGACATTCAATTACGAAATGATTTTTCAGGCCAGGGCTGGGGCTCAGTAGTAGAGCATTTGCCTTATAAGGCACTGGGTTTGATCCTCAACATCACATAAAAATAAATAAAGATATTGTGTCCATCTACAACTAAAAAAAAAAAATTAAATGAAAAGGGCAGGAAGGGGAAAGGAGTGGGCAAAGGGATAGGAATGATGGTTGAATGATTTAGACATCATTATCCTAAGTACATGTATAAGACATGACATGTGAAAATACTTTGTGTATGAAATACTTTGTGTACAATCAATGTCTTAAAAATTGTGCTCTATACGTGTAATATGTAATGAATTACATTCTGCCATCAGGTATAACAAATTAGAATAGATTTTTAAAAATGAGGGACTGGGGTTATAACTTAGCAGTAGAGCGCTTGCCTTGCTATTGTGAGGTACTAGGTTCGATCCTCAGCACCAACATAAAAAATAAATAAATAAGGGCTGGGGATGTAGTTCAGTGGTAAAGTACTTGCCTAATATGCATGAGGCACTAGATTTGATCCTCAGCACCACATTAAATAAATAAATAAATAAATAAAGGTCCATCTACAACTAAAAAAATTAATAATGAATTTATTTAATAAATAAAGATATTGTGTCCATCTTTTTTTTTTAAGAGAGAGACACAGAGAGAGAGAGAATTTTTTTTAATATTTATTTTTTAGTTTTCGGCGGACACAACATCTTTGTATGTGATGCTGAGGATCGAACCCAGGCCACACGCATGCCAGGCAAGCACGCTACCGCTTGAGCCATATCTCCAGCCCCTTGTGTCCATCTTTAAAAAAATCTTTTAAAAATGAAATTATTTTTCTCAATCTCTATCCAACAAACCTAACTCTGTCTCTAATGAGGCATTTATGAGTCTGTCATGGCAAAAGGGCAGAACTAAGAAAAGCAAGCCTTTTTATCTCTCACAAACCTCATGTATTAAATAACACCAAGCTTGAGCATGTCAGACCCCAAAGCAGGAACTGGGGTGTGATCCTTGCAGCACAAAGCTGAGTGTGAGAACTCAGGAAGCCGGAAACCACAGTCTCAGTAGCATCTAAGAGGTCCAAGAAGTTCAACAAGGCACTAGGGGCCAAGGAAAGCAAGTTGAGTCTTGACTCTGGCTTGGGGTCTCTCCAGTCTGGGCTTGATGGAAAGTTCCTGAGCACCATAGCATTTTGTAATTTATATAGGGTTTTTTTTTGTTCATTTCTTTTCTATTTTATTTTTATTTTCCTTATTCATTTATTTTTCGCAGTACTGCAGATTGAACACTGATACTCTACCACTGAGTTACATCCCAGTCCTTTTAAATTATTATTGATTTTTTGGTACTGGGGATTGAACCTAGGGACACTTAACCACTGAACCACATCCCCAGCAACCCTTTTTAAATTTTTTTTAAATGTTAATGGATCTTTATTTTATTCATTTATTTATATGTCATGCTGAGAATTGAACCCAGTGCCTCACGCATGCTAGTGAAGATCTCTACCACTGAGTCACAACCCCAGCAAACCCCACCCCAGCCCTTTTTCAATATTTTATTTAAAAACAGCTCTTTGTAAATTGCTTAGGGCCTTAAGGTCCTTCTTCCTCAGCCTCCCCAGGAGCAGTGATCACAGGCCTGCACCATCATGCCCAGCAGCACTTTGCAACATTATAAGAGAGCAAGAAGCCAGGTGCAGTGGTGTACTCCTCCATCACAAGTTTGGGCCTAGCCTCAGCCAATTAGTGAGGCTCTAGGCAACTAATTGAAACCCTGTCTCAAAATAAAAAATAAAAAAGCCTGGCAATGTAGCTCAGTAGTGAAGCATCTCTGCATTAAATACTCAAGAACAAAAAAAAAAAAAAAAAAGAGAGAGAGAGAAGAAAAATGGTTTTAATTTTTGTCCTACTCAAAAAAAAAAAACTGATGAAGTCCTCTTGGCAGGCTTGTAGCTCAGTGGTAGAATGTTTTGTCTAACAACTGTGAGGCCCTGGTTCAATTCCCAGCATTGAAAAAGAAAAAAAAAAATCCACCTGGTCCAATTGAAGGGGCAAGGACTATATCCTATTTTTCTTTGACCCTGGGGACCCCCTACTACCTAGCATTATTCCCTGTAATTTAAATTCCTGAGGTTGGCTTTGAACTTGCAATCCTCCTGCCTCAGCCTCCTAAATCACTGGGATTATAGGCATGCAGAGCCCAGCAATTCCCTATAATTTGAACATACTTAAAAAAAAAAAAATGTTTCTTGTTATTTGAAATTTCTGTCAACCTAGAGATAAAAAGAAAGGGAAAGAATTTTAGTCTCAGGGACAAAAGGACGTGTGATTAGAAAAAAGCTGATTAAATAAAATCTAAATCCCCAGGTATCCACACTATGAACTTTATATAATTAAATTAATTTTTATTTTTATTTTTGATACTGGGGATTGAACCCAGGGTCTGGCTAACTTACTTAGGGCCTTGCTTAATTTCTAACTGGTTTTATATTTTTTTGGATATTTTTATTTCATTTTTATGTGGTGCTAAGGATTGAACCCAGAGCCTCACATGTGGTAGGTGGGCACTCTACCACTGTGCCACAACCCAGCCCCTGGCTTTGAGCCTCAGTCTCCTGAGCTTCTATGATTACAGGCATGCACCACCACACCTGGCCCATAATTTATTTTTAAGTAATTAATATTGTCACAGGGTTTAAATCCTAGAAATTATATAAAAAGATATAAAGTATCCCTCTAATTCTTGTTCCTCATTGATATAGTTTCCATTGGTTTCTTATTGTCTTATAAATCCATTGATGATTTTTGTTTTCTGGTTCTACCACCACTGAGCTACATCCTTAGACAGTTTTTTGTTGTTGTTGTT